CGTATATATTCTTTTTCGATTAACTTTCCAATCAACCGCCTCGACTCGTCGGGATTCTCTTGTAAAACCGTTCGACGTCCAATTCGCCCGGCTGGATCGCAGATCCAGGAAATACACGGCTTTGGGATAATCGAGCCTCCGAACGTCGCCTCAAATTTTTCGTCACGTTGCTCTTGTGACGAAAAAAAAAAGAAGGTAATCGAAAAGTATTCGGGCTTCTCGTTTTCCTTCGCCTCGATCAAAGTGAAAAATTCGTTGGAAAATTTCGGTGGAGAATACAATTTATTCTCTGCTTTTATCCATTTTCCGATTCCAAGTTTCGTTCCATTCCTTTTGTTCCTTTTTCGCGCGAATTATCGCAACACAGAATCACAAACAGAATGATTTGTCAACGATTCTTTTATACGCAACGAGAGTTGGAATCGTAAAAAAAATCGAGCCAGCTTCTCGTCCGACTAAACCAAATTAATAATAATAAAATAATTTTTCGAAAAAAGAAACATCTTGCAAATACACGCGCGAAAAAAGGAATGAATTTAACGAATTTCTCGTTTCGAACGGTTTCAGGAAAGCGGTTTAGCGGTTATCGTCCATTTAACTCCATTAATAATTCGATCCCTTTTGTCGTAGCTGTTGCACGCCGATACTCTTACACCCAATCGCTTCCTTCGACACGGATCGATCTCGTCCCTCAAGATTGAATCACTCCAAGACTCTAGGCATTCGGATATTTAGATTTCCACCTCCTTCGCGTGTCTGATCGAACGAAGGCAAAGCTCTGTCCCATTGTTTAACCGCAAGATCGCATCTGAACGAGAGATCAAATCGATCTCGATTCAACTTTGAATATTTTTTTCCAACTAGCTCGAGTGAGAGGCGACAGAATCTTTATTCATGCTGAATCTCGATTAATAAGAGCGCGGTATACCGATTCGTGAATGGGTTTCTTGGTTCTTTGTTTCTTTATCGTTGAGTAAATGTTGAGTATATAATTATATAAAATACAAGATAATTTAACCGTATAATTTTTAATCGAAATCTTTCGTCAAATGTTTTGATGTTGGAATGAACCTGACATTTATCAACTTCGAAGCTATTGATTAATGAAAATTGTTTCATTTAACTTATGGTTAAAAGGTAAATACGCGACGTTTCATGAGCGAGAGACATCAACAGAATCTTTATTTATCCTAGATTTCGTTATCTTCGATTAATAAGAGCGCGGTGTATCGATTCTTGAATAGATTCTTCTTTGTTTCTTTATCGGGAAACGTTGAGTAAACTTTAAAACAGAGACGAGATATCCCGATCTTAAATTCCTCCAGAAGTACAATCTCAACAATATTCTCAGTTAGTTCAGATTCAGACAATCGTGACGAAGGTACTATAAAAATTTAGAAATGGATTTCGAAAACAGCTCGAGATCGTATTCGTGAAGGAATCGATGATAGAGAAAATGAAATAGTGATACGTGTAAAGTAGATGTAAAGCGACAGATCTCCCAAGATTCTAATAATTCAGAATATAAATGTACTTCACGTAATCGTTCGTAAGACTAAATCATCTCGAGTTGATTTGAAACGAATTCGAAGCCGAAAGGGTAAACAAGCGACTTTTCTCGAGCAAAATTCGAGATAAATCGTTTTGCATCGGTTATTTACCAGCGATCGGTTTACACGAAGAGTCACGACGAACAACAGATTGGATATCGGTTATTGGTGGCGCACGTTCCGCGCATCGATGTTGACAATCGGCCAAACTCGATCTTTCGCTGCTCGTGCCTGGTCGCTCGAGCCACCCTCTCGTTTTCGTTCCGAACGTTGCTAATTACGCGGCGCGAAATTTACACGCGGATATCGAGAAAAGTTTGGAACGGACGTTGGAAATTTTCGAGAGGATGTCACGTTCGCCTCTTGCCACGAGCCTCGCCAAATCGTTTCGTAACAAGCGCTTGTTAAAGTAACGAGATATATATATATATATAGGACGAAAAGTGAGAAAAGTTGTTTCATTCTCTATTTTATATTCTATTTTACGTACTTCTTTATAGAAGAGAACGAAGTGTACATATTGGTGAAAAAGGGATCTGTGAAGAGAGGAATAGAGAGGATCTTAGTTAGTGCGAAGAATGTAATTGATAAATGTATTATATATATATATATATATTTGATTGAAATTTCTGCGGATTAATAAGATTCGTCCTCGTAAGGAGAGGAACTTAATTACATAAAGTTAATACGAATAATATAATTAATAAACTGATGGATTTGATTGAAATTTCTCTGGATTAATAAGATTCGTCCTCGTAAGGAGAGGAACTTAATTACATAAAGTTAATACGAATAATATAATTAATAAATTGATGGATATGATTGAAATTTCTGCGAGTTGATAATAATCGTCCTCATAAGAAGAATCGTAAGAAGAGATAGAAGATAAAAAAGTTGTCAAGAGAGGAATAGGGAGGATCTTATTTACTTTAAAGTATAATATAATTAATAAATGTATCATATATATAGATTGGTAGATTTGATTGAAATTTCTGTGGATAAGGAGAGGAACAGAGAGGATCTTAGTTGCATAAAATTAATACGAAGAATATAATTAATAAATATATAATAATTACGTATAAATGCATTGGTTGATTTGATTGAAATTTCCATGGGTTAATAAGAGTCGTCCTCGTAAGAAAAGATAGGATAAGTATTCAGAATATAGACTGGTAAAAAAGCTGTAAAGAGAGGAACAGGGAGGATCTTATTTACCTTAAAGTATAATATAATTAATAAATGTATCCACGGTTAATAAGAGTGTCGTGCTCGGCGGGGAGGACTTCTCGCTCGCGAAATTAAGAAAGCGGTGGGAGGAATAATGGGGCGGGGGATGGGAACGAGGACAGGAAGAAACGGGGTCAACACCGAGCGCATCCGAGAAGTGGAAGAGTTTTGTGGGACAGGTCAGGATGCGTCCATGACTCGAATGACGGTAGTCGATTTCGAGTTTGCGTTGTAACGCGACCGATCGATCCGATCCAAATCATGAATAATTAATAAATATTCCAATGAGATCTTTCTCCATATTTTGGATAATAAATATTCATAGTGGAAAATATTATCGTGTTATTACATTCGATATCACCATTTAATATTTAAACGGTATTTTAAAACGCCGATCGTTCTATTCTTCTTCGCCGTATTCCAAGACTCTCGTCTTTTCTCTTTTTTCACCTTTTCCCGCAATTATCGTCTGAATCGTTCGAGATGAAAATATAAAACACTGGTAAATAGTCTTCGATCTCGTGACGACTGCTTTAATCCAATCACCTGATACGCAAAATGATCGAAACTTCTTCTTCGTCAAAACGAATTATAAATCGTATCTCGAACCGATTTTACTTATATTTGTCCTCAATCTCCACCGTGAAAATAGAGCAAGAAGAACGAAAAGCCGCGAAGATGAAGTCGTGTCGAAGAAAGATTATTAGATCCGATACGTTTTATCTGGCGATATCTGTATCGTCTCTGAGATTGAAACGGATTCTGTATTATTATCAAACAAAATATAAACGGAATAAAAAGTATTCCTTTCGAAATTTCGCTCGATCTTTCTCGAAAGTTTCTCTCGTAAATTCGACGCTCTCGTAAATGCTCGGTCGAATATCGTTTCTGTGTATCGAGATCGTAATCGTTTGTCACAAGCGAAAGGAAGCGTTTAACGAGCGATAAATCGCGCTGCAATTGGTCGGAACAATTATACCGATAACGAATCGCGCCACCGCGATAATATCGTTATCTTCGTTCGTTCGAGAAACTCTATTCCATTTTATCGACCTGTGTGTGTGTGTGTCTTCTTCAACACTAAATCGCGTGTTCAAATTGACCGTGTTCGAACTTTTTCGTGTATTTAAACATATTTAACCTTTTGCGCTCTCAGGCATCGCAACGCGATAACTCGACGAGAGGTGACTTTCAGGCACTACTTGGATTGATGCAGCAATTCGAAAAAAAAATATTTATTTATGTTTGATTTTTTTTTAAATATCGCTTCACGAATGGATTCCTAATCTCTTTAAGTATAATCTTATAAAGTGTGGAATAATGTACTATCGAATCGTTAGATTTCTATCTGAAATAAGAGCGTGATTCTCGGAATTACCGAACTATTTTCGGCGTTAGTTCGAGTTTGACATTTGTGGAAATATTATTTTCAAAGTTTCTTTCGAGTTTTGTAAGCTAAGAGTTTTGGAATACTATTGTAATGAAATTAGTCCGAGTGGAGATGAGTTTGATTAAATAACGAAATGATTTCTGTTCGTTACGAAATTGACGATAGAGAGAAAGAAAATAGTAATGGAGATTGAGACGCTGTAAGAGAAAGTGAAAAATAAGAATAACAGACAATAAACGAGAGCACGTTATTGGGATTGTTACGATATCACGATATTTATCACGATATTCCTGACAAACCGAGGATACATCTTGATGAATTGCTTTGTTATTAAAATATTACTTTAATATTCCACAAATTTTCTTTCTTTACACGATAAGCATACGTAAAATATCAAAATATAAAAGTTTACACGTTAATTTGTGCGTGAAATCATTTTAAATTAGCTAAGAAATTCACCGAACGGAATGGTTGGCTCGCTCGAGGTCCGGAATGCAAAGAGTTAAACTTATCACATCGCTATCAAACTTTTCCTAAAACATGCATACAATATATTTTTCGGTATTTACTTTCAGTTTACTTTTTTCTTTCCAAGAAATATTTGTCTTACTGACGCGGTAGGAATAAGTATACAACAACTGTCGATAGGTTAAATTATGAATTCCTGAAACGTGTTACGTTTCATCCAAACAAATGTTACGAGCCGTATCACTGTGTTTCTTCCATGATCGAACGAATTTATCGTAGCGAATTTTACAGATCTTTATTTTCATCGAAGAACGGTTATCGATGATGGCTCCGCACTCTCTCTCTCTCTCTCTCTCGTGTTTCAGAGATCTTGAAATCGCTGTGCAACGACTTCCTCCCGAAAAACGTGTCGGCCATCTTGTACCTGATGAACTACGAGACGTACGGGCGCAGCACGGCCAGCGCCCAATACTTTCTGCAGCTGGCCGGTTACTTGGGGATTCCGGTGATCGCTTGGAACGCGGATAACTCGGGATTGGAGAGAGTGAGTGGATGCAAATGTTCCTTTTTTTTTCCATTCTACAGGGTGTGAAAAAAAGAAGAAGAAGAAGAAACGTACCTCGAATTGTCCTCGAAAAATAAAAGCTTTCTGCTCAATTTCCGGATCGAATTTCTCTCTCGATATCGTCGATCCGTTCGTTTGTTTCGTTCTCACCTTCGTCGATGTTTATACATTTGAGTTGATTTAGAAGAATTCTAGCATTTTGTTACTTTTTCGTGTCATTTATTAATTTCAACGTTCCATTGAAATTTAGTTTGGTTGAAGTCAATTCGACGAATTATTATTCAATTGTAATGGCGAACGATCGATGTTGTATGTGATCGATTAGTTGCTTTTTGGACGAATCAACGTCCAGCTCGCATAACATACAGTTTTCAAAAAGGAAAAATCTTCGATCGATTCAGTTTATACACAAGTGCGACTCATATTTTATACATTTTATGCGTGATTGCTTGTTTTGATTCCGTTTTCCCCTTTTCGAATAGTCGCGCGATGGTTCGAATAATGATAAAGAGCTAACAAAATTATTGTTTCTCCGGTTTTGAGCCCTGATACGAGGATTTAATTTTTAGAAAATTTAAAAAAAAGAAAATACATAATGAAAGCGCTTCGAATTTGGCAGGCATGCGATAAACCGGACCCCCCGGAAATCATACTCTAAATGCTATAAATTATTCGATAGAGATACGAGATAACATGAATACGTAACTACTTAACTTTATGTTTGATTTACAAAGAAAAAACAAGAAATTTATCGATAATGATTGAAAAATTTACTTCTTCGTAAATTTGCACAATATTTCCCAACTCGACTATAATTGTCCGCCTATACATCTTGCTTAAACCCTCGTTAAAATAATTTGAAAAGAAACAATTATTTCTCACATTATTCGAACCACATCTTCTTTCTATTTTCGATCGAATCGTTCCACAACCCTTTCCTCTCGACTGAAAATAATCTTCTCTCCACTGTTGCTTGTCAACTTTCATCGTCATTCCCTGGTCGTAATTCATTTACAATCAGAGGTGGAAACATTGGTTGCAGAGGGCGTCGCAGAGTAATCTGCAGTTACAGCTGGCGCCATCGTTGGAGCACCAAACGGCCGCTATGCTGAGCATCCTGGAGAGGTACAAATGGCACCAATTCAGCGTGGTCACCTCGCAGATAGCCGGCCACGACGATTTCGTGCAGGCGGTCCGCGAGAGGATATCCGAGATGCAGGACACATTCAAGTTCACGATATTGAACGCGATCCTGGTCACCAATCCGCACGACCTGATGGAGCTGGTTAACAGCGAGTCGAGGGTGATGCTCCTCTACTCGACCAGGGAGGAGGCCATCTGGATACTGAGCGCTGCCCACGATTACAAAATCACGGGGGAGAATTACGTGTGGGTGGTGACGCAGAGCGTGATCGAGAATCTGCAGACGCCCAGCCAATTCCCAATCGGGATGTTGGGTAAGCGAATAAAGCGTTGAGAAATTGAGAGTTTGTCAGAAATATGGACAATTTTTTAAATTCAAATTTCCACCCACGTTTCTCCGCGTTGCTCGCGGGAATAAATAGAATTCGATTATCGCAATTTGAGATCTCTTTTACGAAGAAAAGATGAAGATCGTACGTGTTCCCGACGTCGAAAACAGAATTCCATGAATTTATTTTCCCTCGGGTGAAGGGTGGCGGCCCGGAAGGAAGACATCAATTCCCGATTTCCTATCCTCCTCCACCCTCGTTGAATCGCCTTTTCAACAACTGCCCACTCGACGCATCGACGCGTTCGAGGAAATTATTCCTACATCTTCCTCTTTTACTTGTAGTTCGATTTATGAAAATCTTTTCCATCTGCGATACGATAAGACACGATACGAGGATAATTAAAAAATTAGCCGAAGGTCTGATTTCCTTCCTGAATCTCTCCCTCCCTCTCTTTCCATCTCCTTTCCGCTTGATTTACAATCCCCCGATATACATCCGCGAAATCCCAATCTCGAGGCAAGGCAGCAGCCGGTGATACGAAAGCTTTTTCGATTCAATATTTCGAAGAGGGAGAAGAAGGAGAGACGTGCGAGCGAGGGATGAAAAGGAGGAACAAAAGGAGAATAGAAGAATTGCTCGCGAGAAGCTCGGTTATTGACAAATATTCGGCGAATTTTTTAGCCGCCGAAACGTTCGGTTTTATTGTTCGTAGCTGCAAACTCATCGATTTTCAAAGCTTTCTCCGGCCGCACGCGGGGATATCGTGTATCACCGATATCGAAGGAACCGGAGAACGGAAACGTTAGGTTGCGAATAAAATATTCGAGAGGGATTCGTTTGGAAATATGACTTTTCTCCGAAGAGAAAAGAAAAAAGGGGGAAGAGAAATTTAATATTCTCCAAGCTTGTTTAAAGCTAATGGAATGATCGTCGTATCGATAATTTTTGCACGATTGTTGGGAAAAGGCTGTAATTTTTACCATAATAATTTGTATGATTTCTCCTTTGCGCTCCAACGGTGACTCGAGAGATGATTTATTTGATTTTTTTCTAAATATCGCTTCGTAAAGCTCTTCACGTTTAATCCTATGAAGTGTAGAAAATGGTTTTTTTCTCTGCAATTAGATGATCGAATTATATATTTTTCGGCGTTAGTCCGAGTTCGACAGTCGTGGCGATGGAAATATTATTTTCAAAGTCTCTGAGTTTTGTAAAAACGTGAAATGAAGATGAGCGAATGTGATTTTTCGTTATCAAATATTGGTAATTGCTTTATTACTAAAATATACTTTAATATTCCACAAAATTTTCTCTCTTCGCGCGATACACGTGAAATATTAAAATATTAAAAGTTTTATATATATACATTGATTTGAAATCGTGTGGACTCGTTGGCTTTTCTCGAGTGCAAACCGTTAAAATTATATCGAAGGGAGAGAAAGAAGGAGACGAGAACACGAGTTTATCTCGATTCATTTTCGAGGGTATTTCGAATGGAATACTCGATCAACGCGCGTTCCGACAATTGCTCGAGAATACTCGATCGATTTCGAGAAGAATTTTAATTAAATCTCCGTTCGAGCGAATTCCTGCCCAACGCTCTTCCCCTCTCGATTCCATCCTCGTGCGAAATATAATTTCACCAAAAGTGTAACGTATTCGGTATGCATGTATATATCTTCCCTCCTCCCCCCTTCGATTCTTTTCTCAGGTGTGCATTTCGACACGAGCACGGAAAGTCTGGTGAACGAGATCACGACAGCTGTGAAAGTTTACGCGAACGGAGCTGAGAACTTCTTGAACGATCCGGCGAACAAGGATCACACGCTGAACACCAAGCTGAGCTGCGAGGGAAGGGAATCCCGCTGGAACACCGGAGATCTGTTTTTCAAGTAAGAGAACGGATCCTTTTCAAAAGAGGAAAAAGTCGATCGAAATTTGAAAGTTTGAAAATAGGGAACGATGGTGAGAATTTATAATGTGTGTTCGCTTTTTTCGTGAATCGTGTAACGTTTCGACGGATCGTGCAGCGGATCGCGCGCAACGGAAATATTGGTTAAAAATTATAATATCGCGTCGCCGCTTTGTTTCGATCGTTGTTTACGATATTCACGATTCCGTGAATTACGATTCCGATTAATCGACGAATTTATTCGATGAATTATTCAACGCGAATAATCAGAACGGAATTACGTTTACTTAACCGTATATAGAATGTGAATAAATCGATTAAATTCCTGTGAAATATATACGCGTAATTTTTTCGAAACCAATTGTTTCGAAATAATTTACTCGAGCGAAAGATTAGAGAGGAATGGAATCATTCATAGGGATAAAGGTATCAAAAGATTCGAAATTTCAAAATTTCTATTCCCGACGAAAGTTGCGCAAAATTCTGGGAAGAGGATCGAAAATTGTTTCATTTGTTGCGTTCTCAAAGGAGAATGGCATTTCTTCTCCAGATACTTGAAGAACGTGTCCGTGGAGGGGGACCAGGGGAAGCCCAACGTCGAATTCACCCAAGATGGCGTTCTCAAGTCGGCCGAGCTGAAAATCATGAATCTCCGCCCCGGGTTGAGCAAACAACTGGTCTGGGAGGAGGTGAGTGAAAAGACGAGAAAAACATCCCTTTCTCTCCTTGCACGGATATTTCGCATAGATCAGCGAGTAGAGCGAAACCGAACGAGCGGGATAACAAAAAGAATCCAAGTTGGAAAATATTAGTTTCTTTCCAAGATTCTGGGGGGGAGCGGGGGGGGGGAGTTTCTGACATTGGAAGAAACGTGAGCGTAGCTCCATTATCACGGAAGAAGAATCCTCTCTCGATTTAACGTTCCAACTCTGAAAGTTTATATCCCGATCGTCTTGCTCCGTTTCGTTATTAAATTTACAATCATGATTTATTCAACCTGCTTGTAATCCTGGTTTATTTTAATCCTGGCTCGATAAACGATATCGATCCTCGTCGTGTTTCCTATTTCATCCATGCAATTATCCGTCGAAAATTTCATTTATCAATGAAAATAACGAACGCTCGTATCGATCGATCGAGTACGAATCCCCGAAAGAGGACACGACTTAAGAAATTGGATTCGATCGACGAAGAAAATTCCATGGATCTTAACGAGAAACATCCGTGGACACGCGGAGATCGAGAATCGATGCGACGAACGGTTTCGATAACAAGAGGTTGGGCGAGGATCACGTCAAAATATTATTACACGCTGGTTCGCATTGACGAGGGGAATCGGGCTCTCACATAGGGGAAACTTCGTTTTCTAATGGATGCATTTGACGTTTAATTAACGTCCGGCTTCCTATTGATCGAGAGCGCATACCTGCCACCCACCCACCGCCCCCTATCGATTCTCGATTCGCGCCGTTTTCGCGGGTTCACGCGCCAATTGTCATTGCCGTTACGATATAATGACATTCCCTGTGCAAAGAGGATCCTAAATTCAGGCTCGATCGACGAAGCCTCTCTGCGCCTTTGACGAGTGTAGAAGCTTTTCAATTGATCGATTTGTGTATTAAGTAGATTTGGTTTTCACGCGTCAATTGTTGTTACGCGATCGTCTTGCTCCGTTTCGTTATTAAATTTACAATCATGATTTATTCAACCTGCTTGTAATCCTGGTTTATTTTAATCCTGGCTCGATAAACGATATCGATCCTCGCCGTCGTGTTTCCTATTTCATCCATGCAATTATCCGTCGAAAATTTCATTTATCAATGAAAATAACGAACGCTCGTATCGATCGATCGAGTACGAATCCCCGAAAGAGGACACGACTTAAGAAATTGGATTCGATCGACGAAGAAAATTCCATGGATCTTAACGAGAAACATCCGTGGACACGCGGAGATCGAGAATCGATGCGACGAACGGTTTCGATAACAAGAGGTTGGGCGAGGATCACGTCAAAATATTATTACACGCTGGTTCGCATTGACGAGGGGAATCGGGCTCTCACATAGGGGAAACTTCGTTTTCTAATGGATGCATTTGACGTTTAATTAACGTCCGGCTTCCTATTGATCGAGAGCGCATACCTGCCACCCACCCACCGCCCCCTATCGATTCTCGATTCGCGCCGTTTTCGCGGGTTCACGCGCCAATTGTCATTGCCGTTACGATATAATGACATTCCCTGTGCAAAGAGGATCCTAAATTCAGGCTCGATCGACGAAGCCTCTCTGCGCCTTTGACGAGTGTAGAAGCTTTTCAATTGATCGATTTGTGTATTAAGTAGATTTGGTTTTCACGCGTCAATTGTTGTTACGATATAATGACATTCCCTGTGCAAAGAGGATCTTAAATTCAGGCACATCGACGAAGCCTCTGCGCCTTTTACGAGTGTAGAAGCTTTTCAATTGATCGATAAGTAGATTTGGTTTTCACGCGCCAATTGTCATTATAATATAATCACATTCCCTGTGCAAAGAGGATCTTAAATTGACACATCAATGAAGTCCCTGCGCCTTTTACAAATGTAGAAGTTTTTAATTGATCGATTTGTGTATTAAGTAGATTTGGTTTTCACGCGCCAATTGTTGTTACGATATAATGACATTTTCTATGGAAAGAGGATCCTAAATTCAGGCTCGATCGACGTATGAACGAAGCCTCTGCGCCTTTTACGAGTGTAGAAGTTTAATAATATTCCTTATGAAAGAGGATCCTAAATTGAGACTCGAAGTGCTTTCGCGCCACATCGACGAAGCCTTTGCAACTTTTACAAGTGTAAAAGTTTTTCAATTGATTAGATTTAAAGGACAGTGGAAACTGATTAATATAATAAGTAGTATAGTGTAATAGTATAATAATAGATTTGGTTTTCACATGCTAATTACGATATAATGACATTCAAAGAGGATCTTAAATTCAGGCTCGTGTTTCGATCGATATATCAAGGAAGCCTCTGTGCCTTTTACGAGTGTAGAAGTTTTTCAATTGATCGATAAGTAGATTGGTTTTCACGCGCCAATTGTCATTATAATATAATGACATTCCTTGTGCAAAGAGGATCTTAAATTCAGGCTCGTGTTTCGATCGATATATCAAGGAAGCCTCTGTGCCTTTTACGAGTGTAGAAGTTTTACAATTGACTAGATTTAGATGGCAGTGGAAATTGATTAATTGTATAATAAAAATGTAGATTTGGTTTTCACATGCTAATTACAATATAATGATATCTCCTATGCAAAGAGGATCGAGTTTCGATCGACGCATCAACGAAGCCTCTGCGTCTTTTACGAGTGTAGATGTTTTTCAATTGACTAGATTTAGAGGACAGTGGAAACTGATTAATTGTATAATAAGTAGATTTGGTTTTCACGCGCCAATTGTGATATAATGATATTCCTTATGCAAAGAGAATCCTAAATTGAGAAACTCGAGTATCGATCGACACATCAACGAAGCCTTTTAAAAGTTTTTCACCTTTCGCTTGACTAGATTTAGAGGATAGAGTAGAAATTGATCGATTTGTATAACAAATAGATTTGAGTACGAGCATTCGTGCGTTTTCACGATTTTAATACTTTGCGCTCGAGAGGCGACTGTCAATCGCCACGATTCGGGTATTTGCCTCTCAAAAGCGGAAAAAACTATTTTTCGATTGAAATCATATATTTATTCCTATTTTTTATCTTTTTTTATCTTATGGATATAAAATAAGTAATAAAAATGGTACAAAATTTAATACAATTTAACTACAAAAATGACATTTATAAATTTTAAAACCATGTAATTAATAATTAAAAAATATGGGGAAAAAATCATACTGTATTGTGGATCAAATGTTCAATTAATTATCTGTATAAAAATTGTTTCAATTTTGAGGGTACTTATGGAAAAGGGACTTTTTTCCGCTTTTGAGAAGCAAATACGTCACCTGGGCGACAACTCGAATGAGAGACGACAGAATTTTTATTCATCCTAGACTTCGTTATCTCCGATTAATAATCCGCGGTATCGATTCTTGAATAGATTCCTCTTCGTTTCTTTATCGGGAAACGTTGAATAAACTTGCGTTTTAAAACAGAGTCGACAATGTCTCCGATAGTTAATTCAATTCTCGTGGAATCGTAGCGAAAAATATTGTTCCCAAGTTTAGAAGGCCTAAAAAAAAAAGAAATGAATTTCGAAAATAAAATTAGCTCGAGATCGATCGTATTCGTGAAGGAATCGATGATAGAGGAAATGAAAGCTGAGATATTGATTGACAATATCACGTGTAAAGTATTGTAAAACGATAGATCGTCAAGATTCTAACAATTCGTAATAGACTTGTGAGGAAGTCTAATGATGATTTCACGTATCGAGTGAAAAAATGGTGGAGCGCGAGAAATGCAAGATCGAATCGTGAAATACGAGCACGTATTAGAGGAAAAGCAGTTGGAATTATTCAACCGACTGGCGTTCGCTTTAATTTCCGTCCTCGAAACGTTCAAACGTTTCGTTCACGGCTCGGTGGCGGGCATCCGGCCGTCCGACCAAAGGATTTCGCGACTCTCGCGCGGATTTAGTCGCAGCCTCGTAAATCACGAGATATATTTCGCGCGATATACCATTCCTTCTCCTCGGAAATGAATCCGCGAACGAAGAAACGTATCGATCACGAACGCTCGTGGAATCAATCCTCGACTCGATCGGCCTGGAAAATCTTGGAAGAAGATTTCTTCGTTCTCGATCCCTCGACGAGAGAGAGAAAAACTAACGCTTCATAACGTTCGTTACGCGCGAATAAATCAACGAGTGAACGATTCTTCCGCGTCTTTAACACGTTAAATGCCTGTCTCCACGACGCTAGACTTTTCGTTCGTGTTATGCCTTGAGTGACTTACTTGTGAGACTGAATATTAGGTTTTTCTTCGGCCAATGTTTTGTGGAAAAGAATATAATATTTAAAATAAGATTGTTTGTGCATTGATTACAAAAGGTTGTAACTTTTTACGTTAACAAGGTGTAAATCCCTTCGCTCGAACGCTTCGTCACGCAGTCGTCGTATATTTAATAATTGACCCCTTGCTTTACGATTTAAGTTCCGATTTAAGTTAAGCGCGTGTAATATAAACAATAAGAATGTCGGTCAAGCGTTTCGCGGTTTGGCCGAGCGTTCATCGTGGAGAAAGTAAAATTTAATATTTAATATTTTTTTCGACGACTTTATTAAGTATTCTAATATTTTTAATATTTTTCCGGAGAAAATGCATGTGCATCGTCCGAATGCGAAGTGATTCAAGTTCAGAATAATCAGTCGCTTGTAACGTTTTCGTAGAGGAAGTAAAATCCTAAAATAGCCACTGTCGCTACTTAAAATATCCATCAAATTATTCTTTGCGATCTTGGCAGGACTGTCAACAACGTTTAATGTTCCTTTCGATGACATTTTTAAGGATACTTTTCTAATATTCCAATATTTTTAATAAAAATTTTTAGAGAAAATGCATGTACATCGTCCGAATGCGAAGTAATTCAAATTCGGTCAGAATCTAATATAACCAGTCACTGTCGCTATTTAAAATATCCATCAAATTATTCCTTGCGATCTTGGCCGAACTTTCACTGTCGTCGACGACTTAATAAAGGATAACTT